GGGCAAGATTCTCTTTATGGGCTGCCTTCCGTTCCCTTCCGGGGTGTTTTCTAGCATCACCTACCAAATAAACTACTTGCGCTCAAATCCTTGCTTTAGAACCTTCGGTAGGAACCTGAACGAAGGCAGATGTAGTGATGATAAGTTGTGGTGCATGGCATGGAGAGAGAGACAGGCTGCTGTCTGGGGGAGGGGTTGTTGCCCCACTGTTGAGTGGGAGTGGGGGTGTCCGGGAAGCTGAGGAAGAATTCTGTGAGGTGGGATTAGAGAAGGGGCAGGAGGAGGGCACATGGGGATCTGAGGGTCTGAAAGGACGTTCTGGTCGCAGCAGGGCCCCAGGGACATGCAGGGAAGCCCAGAGAACAGATCCTGCAGGTCTTGTAGGACGTGATAAGAAACTGAAGTTATCTATTCAGCGAACACTGAGGAGTCAGTCAGGAGGCTCAAGAGGGACAGTAGCAGGATCAGATCTCTCCCTAACAAACAGTGGGGACGGGCAGGAGAGAGGGAGTTCCGGGGCCTCTGCGTGGGCCAGGGCGTTGCACGCGTTTTACACTTGGAGGAATCTGGACAAATGTTTGATGAAATGCAAGGTGACTATTAACTACACATTTGATTGACCAGACACCTCGTTTCCTGGCCAAAATGAATAATGGTTTCCCTTAATTAATGATGCCCTTTTGTCCTGGGCTGCTTCCCTTAACTTTATCAGGCCCTTCTCTGTGGGAGGGCACCAAAAGGTCAACTTCCTTTTACTGTTTCTCCTTCTCCACTCCTCCCCCACCCCTTTGTAACCCCCCCCTCCCTCTCCTTCCCCTCATTCCCTCTTCTTACTCCAAATAATCCTATTTAATTAAGTTCATTATTCCATACAATCTCCATTCCTATTAACTGTGTCATTAATTCTTACCTTTGGCTATCTTAAGACTCTGCAGATGTAATCAGAGGAAACAGAATTACACTTTGTGAACCAGGTAATTTTAAAGCGGATCTTTAGTTAAATGCTGTCAAAATGCAGAAAAGAAAAATGTTGCCAAGCACATCCACTCCTTTGTTAATATCACCAACTACACTTCCTGCATTCGCTTATACTTGTCATGGGAAAAATTCCATTTCGAAGGTGATTTATACAAAAAGTGCGTTGCATGTGTGTGAATGTTATTCATAATCTGAAATCCTGAGACACTGAGTGTATTTTCAAGAGATGAAAAAGTGGAGATTCATATTCATACATCTGATCATGAATGTGGTCTCACGTGTGACCACTGTAAATATATGACTCCAGAATACACGAAGAAATATAGTATATTTACCAGTCAGCAAGTTGAGATTTATGGAGCTGCAGAAAGTAACACAAGAAAGAGGTCCAGGAAGTTTAACACCCAAGCCTTAAATGACTCTCCAAGAATATGTTGTAAAGAGTTACAATTGTACCCTTTTCCTTCTTGAACTCCTTTATAGAAATCTTGAAATCCTTGCTCATCCCCTTCTTCAACCCAACAATTAAAGAAACAAGACTCTAGATATCTATGATTTCACATAACCTTTTATACCCAATATTTTCATTTTCTTAAAAATACATCTTCAGTAGTTGGGGAGGGTCATGTTCGCAACAGCCCGAGGTGGAGAGGATCTGATCATTGGGTTTCCCATTTTAACTCTGGTGAACCCTTTGGCACATTCACTAATCACCCCAAGCTCCTCACACTGTGTTCTGGCAGGATTTGAGACATGCAAATTGCAAACTGGTAAATAGCAACTTTGCATATTTTGAATAGGAGAGAACAACGTGGTACCACTCATTCTGTTCACAGGGAAATCTGAGATAATGGGAGTGAGAGCAAGGGCAGACCGAGGGTCCTAAGTGTTTTCTTCAAAGTGTTTATTATGCTTATTAAATCTATTGTACAGTGATGAATTAATTTGAATTATTTACATGGTCGACCTTTGAGACAATAACCTGATTTAATCAGAAGATGCAAATGTATCATTTCTCTTTGAAATCGAAAAACAGCTTTAAACTGGAAGAAGCATCAGGACTTGTATCGTTTCCTACAAATATTGGTTACAAACCTGCAGGTGTCAGGTTAAATGACATACTGTCAGAAATCGAGAGAATGTGATAATGTCTTTATGAAAGTTGATAAACTCCTCAGTGAGAACATGTCCCCTGGACAGCCAACTTGGGTGACAAATATCTCAAGTAAAAAGTCTTTCAATTCCATTTATTGGTAAATATCCTGTCTGACGTGAGGCTGTTCGTCCGCTAAAAGTTCAATGTAAAGGAAAATAACATAGTAAGAATGGTTGGGTTTTCATGAAATCATGAGCTAGGTGTCATTTTGGTGAATGTTTAGACTGGTAAGAATTCTTTAGCTTTACTACTGAAGTTGTAAGAATCTAAGGCTGATGTCAAGTTTTAAAGTGTTATAATCCAATTATTTAAAATATCTAGGTTTCCCTTATAACTTGGAAAAAATTAGAAACTGTTGTTCAAGCCCTGGCCGGTTTGGCTCAGTGGTAGAGCGTCAGCCTGCGGTCCAGAGAGACCCGGGTTCAGTTCCCGCTAAGGGCATGTACCTCGGTTGCAGTTTGTCCTCGGCCCTGGTTGGGTCGTGCAGGTGGCAACCACTCGATGTGTCCCTTTCACGTCAATGTTTCTCTCTCTCCCTCCCACTCTGTTGAACAAAAAATGGAAAAATGTCCTCGGGTGAGGATTAAAAAAAAAAAATTGTTCAAGCATATCCTACTTTGGGTTATTTTTTTTCTTGGTATTTGGATGTTTATAGGGAATTTTTGAGAAAGGTAAAAATCCTGTGTGTTTTTAAAGATGGAAAGGCACAACTGATTCTGAAGGTGGAGTCTCTCTGAGGTAGAGTGAACAGCTTGCCTCTTGAATATTTTATGAGATCTAGGTATTAGAAAGCGATTTTCAACCAGTATGCCACAAGACTTTTTAAAACATGTGATACCTGACTATTTAGTCAGGGGCTCTGACCTCTTTTCCCTTAGATTGTCCAATAAAATAAACGACCACAGCCAACACAACAATAGCGGTCCTGTGTGAATGAATCAAAATTATACCTATTTTTGGTTAATCCCTTCACCTTCTTTCATCCAGTCCCCCAACACCCCTCCCCTCTGACAGCTGTCAGTCTGTTCCCTGTATCCATGCCTCTGTTTCTATTTTGTTTGTCAGTTTATTTTGGTCACAGACAACAGTGTGGTGACAGCCAGAGGGAAAGGGAGCTGGGAGGGTAGGTGGAAGTGGGGAAAGGGAGAAATGAGGATGGAGAGACTTTGCTTGGGGCGACGGGTGCCCGATGCAGTGTGTAGATGTACTTTATTGAGTTGTACAATCAAAACCTGTATGGTTTTGTGAACCAGTGTCACCCCAATAAACTCAATTAAAAAATGACACTTTTTTTTTTTGTCAGATAGGCAAAAAATGTAATACATTTTTTGGTGTGCCACAGGATTTTAGTAATTAGTTTATGTGTGCCATGAGATAAAACAGGTTGAAAATTGCTGTATTAGGACAATGTTTCTGATGCAGGAACACAGCAATCTAGGAACAAAAGGGAGATGAGGCCAAAGGAAGAACTGTGCATTTTTTTCAAAATATTAAGTGATCCCAACGTTGAACACAGGGATGGATGGAGATACTGCAGATTGTTCCTAGTAAGGGCTTTAAAAGCTTAATGATTTATTGATTGAATCTGCACTAATGAGTTGTCCCTGAATATGCATGTGTAAATAAGAGGGTTTATTTATAAAGGTTCAATCATATCTTTCAGATATATTTGGTCCAAGAGTACTTACTGAAAATAAATTGAACGGTTGAGGCAACTATCTGAATATTTCAGGGGCGGAACCCCCACCTGATTTGGAGGCAGGCTAGTATGCCAAGTGAAGAGGTAAAACAAAAAAGGGAGAGAAAACTCTACTGGGAGTTAGGAGAAAACAAAAGGAGAGAAACCTGAAAACTACTACTGTTAAGAAATATGCCCCTCCCCCCTCCCCCCCCTAACTTTTCTTATTCCAAGAGGAGAAAAATAGATTCCCAGGTGCCACCACAGAGCAATGTTTTCCTTGAAAAAAAAAAGAAAGAAAAAGAAAAAAAAGTTGTCTTGTTAAATCAGCTGCACATGGAGTCTGTCTGTGTAGGGAAATCAGCCTTTTCATTACAAATAGGTTTAAAAAGCCCTGGAGAAGAGAGACGTGAACAGAAGCAATATTATCCACTAACAACCTAACTCCCTTTTAGCCATCAGCTGAGAGAAGATCAGCAGCATCATTGAACAGGGGGTTTGTCTGAAGATAAAGACTCATCTTTATTTCTTTCAGGATATAAAACTTGTATTTAAATCAATTCAGAGAAGCACTTTAGCTTTAAACATTAGAGAGCAGGGAGAGCCTATTTAATAAAACTGCACTATTTCATTTTCAAAGAATGATACTGGCAGTAGCTCTGAGTTTAAATTCTGTATTCTTTCCCTCAATTATAATTATAGATGGGTCTGAAAGGAAGCATGCCTATTACTGTAATATTTATTCTTTTGACAGGTGTTATTTGATGAGATGACTCAAAACGCAGATTCCCATCCAAATATAATTCCTGTCATCAACACGAGTGGTTTAGGCAAGTCCTCTAGCAAGCCTTTTCACAGATCTTGAACATCCCTGATGTTTTAGCAGCAATCCATATTCAGGAATATGGGGGAGAGGCTGCCTTCAGGGCTTAAATCTGAGGTAGCAACAGCCAGAAGGAAGCATGGATGTGTAACGTAAGAATGGTGTTAGTGGAACAGCGTTCTTTTTCAACCCGGTGGGGTCGATCAGGGAAGGGGCACCCAGTAGGTATGGCATGTTGGGTTCTCTTATTAACAGACTCCAAGTCCCGCGCGCGGCCGACAGAGGGCGCTCGGCGCGCAGTGGCCAGGCGGGGGCGGTGCTGCGCTGGTCCGGAGACGCAGGCGCACTCGTAGCCTCGCGTCCGCCGTGACCGGGGTTGACGTTTCCCAGTGGAGGCGGGTGAGCCGCGCGGCGTAGGCGGAGGGCGGGGGCGCAGGCGGGAGGACGCGCGGGGCTGAGAGCCGCTGGGGTGGAGGGCGGTCTGCAGATGTGAGGTCTCGGGTGTCCTCGGCGTTGCGTGGCCTGGGAAGACCTAGCAGTGACTCGCGCCGCTCCGTTCCCCTCCCTGCCCGTGTTCGTGCCCGGGGAGAGCCGGTGCCCCGGGTCGCCGCTCCCGGCCGCCCAGGCCTGCAGCAGGCCTCGCCGGCGCGGCCCGGAGGAGCGAAGGCCCAGGACGGGGCCATTGGAGCCCAGGGGTCCCCAGGCGCCTCCGCGAAGCCGGGCCCGGGCCCACTAGTGAAATGTTCATTGTCTGGCACACACCTCCGTGGCCAGCCTCGGTTTGCCCATTTTAGTAAGTAGATAGGGCCCCTGTACGGCCCATCTGCCTTGAGCACCCCCGAGCGAACTTACCTGGAGTGACCTTCATGTTTTGATTTATGCGTCTGAAGAACAGATCGAGTCACTCAGTGGCTGAGACCCCTTTTAAGACTAATCTTTTGTTTGCTTTTACGCAGCATACAGTTGGCCCAGCCAGTGTGCCTCAGTGGATTGAGCGTCCTCCCGTGGACGGAGAGGTCCCAGTTAGAGTCCCAGTCAGGGCACATGCCTGGGTTGCAGGCTCAGCTGCCCCCCGCCCCCAAAATCATAAAAACATATATTTAAAAAAATGCACGATTAAATATCTTTTAGGACATTTACAGAGTTGAGCATCATCCATGACCATAATCAATTTTAGAACATTTTCATTACTCCCCAAAGAAACCCCTCCTTTAGCTGTCACCACCGCAATCTCCCATTCCGTCCATCCCTAGCAAGGCTAAGCTACTTTGTGTCTCCATAGATGCGCCTACTCTGCACATTTCACATAACTGAAATGTACAACATTTGGTACTTTGTGATTAGCTTCTTTCACTAAAAGGAATGTTTTCAAGGCTCATCCACGTTGTAGCATGTATTAGTAGCTCATTTCTTTTTAATCATAAAGTAATATTACGTTGTATGAAGGTACCATGTTTTATTTTATACATCAGTTGATGGACCTTAGGACTAATCTTTTTTTTTTAATTGATTTTTTTTAGATTGGGAGAGAAAGAGAAGCATCCATCGGTTGCCTCCCACATGCGCTTGACCGGGGATTGAACCTGTAACCTGGGTATTTGTCCTGACCAGGAATGGAACGCACCATCTTTTGATACTGGACTATACTCCAACCTACTGTGCCACACTGGCCAGGACCCTTAAGACTAATATTAACTCTTCACTGCCTACCAGACCCTTTTGAATCTGACCTCACCTTTCTAGACGGTATCCTCTTTGCCCTTGCTCTCCCTCCCTGCGGGCGCCTGTGGGCATGGCAGTCCCTTCCTCCTTCAGGCCTTCATGCAGGCTGCAGGTTGCCCTCTCTGCCTTCACCACCCCTCCATCTTCACCGTCACCCAGCCAAATCCCACTCTTCCTTCAGACCTCAGATTAAATGTACTTTCTTAAGAAAATGCTGAGCCTTGACTGGGTGAGGGACCTCATAAGCCAGTCTCTCAAGGACCTGAATTTCACTTTGTAATATTTAGTTATAATTGAATAATTGGTTTTTATTATCTCCTCTTGTTTTATTTATTTATTTATTTATTTATTTATTTATTTTATTTTATTTTTTTGGTATGTGCCCCTAGCGGGAACCGAACCCGGGGCTCTCTGGTCTGCAGGCCGATGCTCCAACCGCTGAGCCAAACTGGCCAGGGCTCTCCTCTTGTTAATGTGTAAATTCCATGGGGTCAGGGACTGTCTTCTTTGTTTCTATATCTCTAGCACCTAGTACCTTGTTAGTGCTCAGTGACTAGTATTTCAACATACACACACACTCACATGCACACACATGCCTACTGTGTCAGGCACTGTACTAGAGATACACTTGAACAGGATAAACTTTCTGCTCTTACAGAGTTTATATTCCAGTGGGGAAATACAAACAGAAACAAATATAATCCAAGTAGTGAAGAGTGCCATGAAGATAAATAGAAGAAACTGGAGTGTGGTCAAGGAAGGCCTCATCACTGAGCCCTGGATACATGGGGTGGGGAGGTGTGGACCATGTGGGCACCCTGGAAGAGTGGTTGTGTATATGAGGTCCATCAAGGAGGCCAGAGGGAGGGGGAAGAGGAGAAGAAAAGGATAAACCAGGAGCTTTCAGCTCAAGGGTCCGCGCAGATAATCCCTAGGTATGTGTAGAAAAAGCCTGAGCTAAAGAATATATGTACCCCCATGTTCATAGCAGCACTATTTACAATAGCTAAGATCTGGAAACAGCCCAAGTGTCCATCAGTAGATGAATGGATAAAAAAGCTGTGGTACATATACACAGTGGAGTACTATGCAGCTGTAAGAAAGAAAGATCTCTTATCCTTTGAGATGACATGGAGGGACCTGGAAAGTATCCTAAGTGAAACAAGCCAAGCAGAAAAAGACAAATACCACATGATCTCACTTATATATGGAATATAATGAACATAACAGTCTGAGGAATACGCTAGACCCAGAAACATGGAAGTAAGGTTTAGACTGACAACCCTCAGAAGAGGGGATGGTAGGAGTGAGAAGAGATAAACCACAGAACTTAATATGCATGTATGCATAACCAATGGACGTGGACAACAAAGCCGGCGACAGGGTGGGAGTGGGGGAGGGTGCCAATGGGGTAAAAAAGGAGAAACATCTGTAACAAAAATAAAATTTAAAAAATAAATGAAAAAAATTTTTAATTGTATCACAGGGGAAAAAGCCTCCAAAAATTTCATAGTCAAAAATAGTGTTTAAAATCTATAATCTATATGAAACCTATATAAAAAAAATAAAGATAATCAGTTGGAAAAAAAGAAAAAGCCTGAGCTAGAAAGGCAGAGATGTGGGTACAAAGTCTAGCTGTGGCTCTTGCCTAGTTCTGTGTGACCTTGAACCTTAGGTTTTAGATTAAGTGGTCCCTATGAAGTACCCACCCCAGTGTTTGACACCTGGTAGGTATACAGTACATTAATTCTCTTCTTTTGCCCTCAAGCTAGGGTGGTGTGTTGTGGCCTGTGTGTGGGAAGCCTTTGGCACATAACAATGATTCTGTTCAGGTTGCTGGTTACTCTGCTCTGATACAAACATATTTGCCTTTTGAACTATTTTTCTGGTTTGCTTTGGCTGGGAGAGCTCATCAGGTTCCTTTGAAACTAGTAAAGGCTTAGGGCGTTTTGGGCTGACAGATGTAATTTTCAAGGTAATGGCCTTGAGACAGCAGGTGTGGTTGAAAAAGCTGAGGACTCAACCAAAGGACCTGAGTTGGAGACGTGGCTCTGCCACTCACTGGCTTTGTGACTTCTGGACAGGAACTTTCTTCCTGGCTTGAGTTTCCTCTCTGGTAAAACGGAAGCAATCAGCACACATTTATTGGGCTTCTGTTATGTTCTGGGCACTGTTAATTGTGGAGGGGTAGCTAATACAATATCGCTTCTGTACTCCAGAAGCTTACAGTCAGCAAGGAGCGCAGACAGCTAGGTGGAGTAGGAAAGATGTTCAGGTACCTAGTATGTGCCAGCTCCAGGGCTAGGCACGTTACTTATGTTAGTTTGCTTGATCTTTACAACCCCGCCCCTCATGAGGTACATTTTCTGTTCTCCAGTTTCCAGAGGAGGAGGAGAAGTCCAGAGAAGTCAAGCAGGTTGGCCAGGATTGCACAGCAATACATGGCAGAGCTAGTCTCCTAAACCAGGGTTATTTGTCATCAAAACCTGCTCTATGCTTTCCCATCATATTGCTACATAAATGATTACAGCACCGTGTGATGACCCCATTGCAGGAATATGGGCAGCACGGAGGAGGTAACATAGGTGCTGGGTCTTTAAAGATAAAGAGGAATTCTTGAGGCTGATAAAGAATTCAAGGTAGTGGAAAGAGAGGTATTGAAAAGCACATCCCAGAGATGCTGGTAACAATAACAGCAAATAGTTAGGAAGCACATAGTCTGTGCCAGGCACGAGGCCAAGTGGTTCAGGAGCATTAGTTCACCACTGATTCTATGTAGGAGGTGCTATTAGTGGCCCCATTGACAGACGTGCAACAGACTCTGAGATGGAGGTTAAGAAATTTGCCCAGGGTCCTACAATTGACAAGTAATGGAGCCAGGATGTGAACCCAGACTTTCTGATTCTAAAGTCCATGAACTTAACCTCCAAGTTCGGAGTGTGGCTAAAATGCAGGAAGTGTGGGAAGGACAGCAAGAGATGAGTTTGATAAGAGAAGTTTGAACCAGATTTTGGAAGGCCATGCATCAAGAGTACTCACTTTACAGAGATTTTGGGAGAAGGGGAGAGACAGGGTGTGTTTTTAGGATGTGACCTTGGATGGCACTGTGAAGCTGGCCTGGAAGGAGAGAGTCTGATTGGGAGGTTATTGGGATCGTCTGCAGGAGGCATTGTTACAAAGCTGGGAACCAAGGTAGCGCCCGGGGATGAAGGTGGGTTTGGGGTGGCGGAAGGATGAGGAACATGGAGGGTGGATCTTGAGAGCCCAGACCATGTAGCAGAGGGACTGGAGGAGTTAGGATTGCTGCCCCACCTCCTACTTGGGAGGATGTGCAGGTGCAGCTGGAGCCCCACTAGGTCCTCTGTTGTGACTTTCAACATCCAGGAGAATAATTGCATATTTAAACAATGGCCTGTGCAGGCTTAATTTAGCTCATATCAGTGCTCAACAGGGCATAATTTCTGGTTATTTTTCTCTAGTTCCATTCATTCTCTTTCTTTCTTTAAATATAGGGTTTCTCCCCCCACCCCACCCCCAATACACACTTATTTTTAGATGCCCTATGTCAGGGCACAGGTTAGGGAAAAAGACAGTGAGGTTAAATGGGGCCACAGGTGTTTCTCAGTATCTGTGCAGTGATATCACCTGGCTCCCAGGAATTCCCTTTGTGGTTTTAT